TTATTGCAGAGGTGCCGGAAGTGGCTGGATGTTTGACTATAGGATCTTAGTGGACATGTAACAATAAGGAGTGAGTGAAAGACTAAATATTGAAACACTGACATTTAGTTTTGTTTGAATGTGGGAAAAAACCCAGCTAGGAAAAATGTAAAAAGGAATAACTTTGGTAAACAAATACATAAAGACAAAACAAAACTAACAGCAACTGTTAGGTATGACAAGCAAATGTGTTCTTTGAAAACACTCAGATTCTTTACCATTTTGTCAGAATGTCAACACAATTTTGATAAAACAGCACAAAAAGAGTCTGGGTTTACTTCCAAAGCTATGTTTAAAATAAAAATTTATATAAATAAACACCAAACTAAAAAAAAAACAACTTTCCAAAAGGAAGTTCTCTGAAGAATAAACATAAATGACATGACGCAGATTTGTTCCATGTCTTCAGTATTTATGTATTTATGTTATTCATCTATGTTTATGTTATTTACAAGGTCAGAAAGGCTGCAGGAAGCAAGATTGATTGAATGAGTGATGAAACAGCATGGCAAGATTGTTTTCATAATGCATATACAATTTCGCCTAATACAAAACTTTCCAAAAGATGCAAGAATATATGCATTTACCAACAGTTTTGCTGTATCATAACTGGGTAAAACTTTAACCTTATTAAAACGGCCTTGATTAACTATGATGTGTTTTTGTCCTAAGTAACATTATCAGTGTTTTTAATGACACTGAAGGTAATCTATTCAGCAGCTGCACTGAATCCATGAAATAGTCACAGGTCAATATTAGTAAAGCTGCTACTTAAACCTGAGACTCAAAAAGACAAGATTTTGAGTTCCCCATCCCTGTCTTGCACACACACTGGTGCAGTTTAAACCAGAGGTCCATAAATAATCAAGGCACATGGAAGGTCCCACCACTAAGGCATCCAGTCACTTCCACTTTATTGCATCAGCCCCTGATAAAAGGAAACAAGTTATTAATTTATATAAAATATTCATCTAAAAAAAAAAAGCCTCTGTGGTTAACCCTACTGCAGAGACACTGGTGCAGCTGCAGCTAGAAAACGGAGAGAGGGCCTATGTAACTACAGGGGTCCAACAAAGAATGGCCACGCATCATACTGATGTCTTCGGTAATTTATTTTTCTCTCTCTCTCACTCTTATTGTCTTCAGACACCATGAAAACTGAAGAAACACAAAGTTTACAACATAAATGCTTTGAGCTTATCAGTCTCTCATATCAGTGTCCATAAACAGTCTTGTGCAAGCAGAACAGAAAAAATGCATAATAATGGATATCACAAAAATGTCCTCTCATTACCAGTGTAGAACACATATGCAGCATTATACAAATAATATACATGAAACCATACCATGTGCGCCTCTTGGACCACATGCAGAATAACATTAACGTTGAGGCTGTAGATGCATCTGTAGCCATGTATCCATGCTAGCTCCACAATGCCATGGTTGTGCTCTCAACCAAACTCTGGTCATGTGACAAACTCTACCTCATACAAACTTTACAGCACTTTACATATTTAACAAACCCATATTTTGTAATCACATATTTTAGAAATGTTTTTTTTTAATTAATGTTAGACTTTTATCATCTTATCTTGTAAATAAATGAACTAAATTAAGCATGAATCTATCACAGAAACATGAAATAACCAACTTTATTTGAACTGTCTCAGGGACAGTTACAGCCTACTTCCAATGGTGTAACACAGTCCTGATCAAAAGTTTAAGACCACTTGAAAAATGGCACAAAAAAAATCACATTTTGTATGGTTGGATCTTAACAAGGTTCCAACTGGAGCTCGAACATGCAAAAAGAAGAAATGGGAGTGAAACAAAACATTTTGAGAAGGTTATTGAAAACAACGCTTAAACTGAAACAGGCTGTTTTACAGTTGATCAAAAGTTTAGGACCACACCTCCAAAAAACCCAGTAAACACCCAAATAGAAGTGTTATTGTTGATCACTTCAAAAATTAATATTAATTGTTATATATTCAAACTGCTCGAAATGAATAATTCAATACATCAAAAACACATTAACAGGCTTCCATATGCTCTACATACGGCTTAAAGGCTATTCTAAAATCTTAAACCAGAGCAATGCACAAAGATCAAACGATCAAGATCAAATCACTGCCCAGACAGTTACTGAAATGGGAAGAATAAAATCCGAACGAAAGAAGGGAGAAAACAAAGCATAAAGGCAAAGCAGCAGCACTTCTGTAAGTGTAAGCCAGAGAAACAGTAGCGGCGCCACTGTAATGCTATCAGCCGCCCACCCACATGCTGTGAATGCACGGTAAAATTAGCATTTACAGTAAAAAGACGATTGTGACAGAAATAAAGCTAAGACCGTGAAAAATCAAAGTTACAAACGGCGTCTTCCAGTTCTCAGAATGGAGGTTTCTGCAGCTACGACCTATAAACACACCTGTTTACTGCGAAGTAAAATCATTAAATGCACAGAATTAAAACATACCAGCAATCGGTGGAGGGAAAACTTCAGAGGAAACAATCCGCAGGTGATCTATACAAAAACATGAGTAGCACCAATCAACAAAAATGTAACCAATTCAGTCGGAGGGAGCAGAAAAATTTACACGACTTCTACCTGTAACAGCTCCAGAAGGCAGGTGACGAAGACCCGGATGTATACAGCAACAGGTGAGCTAGTGAGGGATGCTTAGATGGAAGGGCGTCTAATTCGTGATATCGTACCAGTAGCTTTATTCTGAAATAATCCCCCTTCCTTTAATTTTGTGCCGGAGACTGACGAGGTACAACAGGTCCGGGGGTGGGGGGATATAAACCACATATTTGTTTAATATTCACATTGACGGACATAACTTCAAGATTTGACGCAAAAGTAATGTCATCCAGAGTAATAGATAGTCTCGAGGACAAGTGTAAAAATAAATGTCTTCGAAGACATTTATTTTTACATTTATTTACATTTATTTTACACAAATAGAAACTGAAACTCTGGCAAGTAAAAACTATGATCAAGCCATTTGCATCACATTCATTTGCAAATCGTGTAAGGCTAATTCAAAGACTTCATTCAGGAGGAACGCCCTCCTCCCTGCCATCATTGCTTTACGCACAGTCACAACAAAAACAAACATTACATTTGACAACACGGGGCAGACGTGTGTGCGTGTGTGTGTTGCGAGAGCAAGAAACCAATGATGTCAATACGAAGGACCAGAAGAGTCAAGTGCATCGAAGTGCATCTGTGTTAAAATAATGAATAGTGTAACAAAATACAAAATAATTTTATTCATTTAAAAATTAATAAATTAATGTATTACTTAATAACTTAATAACACAATTTATAAATCAATGTTTCAAAATGAATTATTAATCAATGAATAAATACTTCAAACTAAAACAGATTTCACAATTTTTTTAACTCTCAATAAAAACCTCATTTCAAAAAGCATTTTAAAATGACAAATTAGAAAAAACTGATTTTCAAGTTGCAATTTAAAAAAGAGAAATAAGTAAATTAATTCAAATATCAAGGTTTTTAATTTTCCATTTTTGTTAAAATCCAAGTTGAATTTAAAGTGTTTAATTGGATAGATAATTTAGTTTGAAATATTGATTTGCAATATTATAAATATGTATATACTGATGGGCAGAAGAAAACTTGAACAAAGCTCTAAAGCTATTAAGTGCCCACCCAGGCCCAGGCTGATCAAACGACATCACCTGAGTATGAAACAAAGTGCCCCACCTCTAACAGCTGCTCAGATGGCAGTTATTTATAGTAGCACCATATAATGTGATTGGCCATTAATTGGTGATTACCAATGCAATATTAAAATATATTATTATTATTTCTCCTACAATTCCATTCACATTGCATGTCAGTATAAAGCTTGTATTTGGTGTGAATAATAATTGTTAAACTAGGTATTACTGTAGAGTTTTTGACAGTACTCTCTCATTTCAGTCTCACATTAATTACATAACTCGCTCTGCATACTTTCACTTATGTAACATTAACCGACTTCGTCCCTTCCCACCCGGTATCCAGTAAGGGTCCTGGCTAGACCCCCCATGCTAAAACCAAGCCCTGGAATGGCACGGCTACGTCTGCAGCCAGTCCACAGCTCGGACACAAGCATTTTATACATGTTGTACTCTGTATGATTGTGTATGTGTCAAATAAAGTTGGTTGCTTAGTTTGCTTAGTTCCCTACTCCCCATGCTGCTGCCATCCTTGTCCATAGTCTTATTACTTCTCTGATTGATTATTGCAACTCCCTCTTATTTGGTCTCCCTAATAAGTCCCTCCATAAACTTCAACTTCTTCAGAATCCTGCAGCTCGGGTCATAACTCATACTCCCTTAAGGGACCATATCACCCCAATTTTTCAGCAGCTTCACTGGTTACCCATACAAGCTACGATAAACTTAAAAATTTTAGTTCTCACATTTGAGTGCATCCACGACCTTAACACTCCTTATCTTTGTGATCTGCTTCATATCACCACTGTTTCCCGCTCTCTCAGATCTTCATCTGCCATTCATCTTGTTGTCCCTTCTGCTGGTCTTATCACAATGGGGAACAGAGCTTTCAGTCGCTCTGCTCTTTGGCTCTGGAACTCAATAGATTCCCTTCCCTTATTTAAGTCAGATTTAACTTGTTGACAAAATCTTGGTTGCTTTTTTATTTGTGGGGGGGGGGGGGGGGGGGGGGGGGGGGGTTGTATTTTAATTTATTTTTAATCTATTTTAATCTACTGTTTTATTGATCTTTATCCATGTTTATCTTTTTCTCTTTGTAAGGTGACCTTGGGTTTTAGAAAGGCACCCTCAAATAAAATGAATTATTATTATCATCATCATCATTAGTAGTAGTAGTAGTAGTAGTATTAATATGCACAGCTTGTTAGGGACATGACAAAGGGAATTCCACACAAATAATTTTACCATATTCATTTATTAAGCACAAACAGAGGTAAAGCAGAAAAAACAACAACAACTATGTGCTTACCTATAAACAACAAGTGACTGAAACTAGAAATAACCACAAAAGCCACAAAAGCGGGAAAAAACAAAACAAAAACTAAATTGGGTGCCAGAAAAGCCCCAGCCTTCTTAGAGGAGGGGGAGGGTGGCCGCCATCTTAAAAGAATATCACCTTACATAGGTTCCCAAACAGGTGAATTCCTTGTCTCGTAATAGATGGGAGGAGCCACTAATGATGACCTGAACAAAAGGAAATAAAACAGGCCCACCAAATAATAACAAGGCTTAAGGCCTCACAGGATGTAAAACTTATTTTTCATCGTAGGCCACATACAGCTCACTTCTATCACAGATGGGTCAAACCATAGAAACTCCAATTTCTGTCAATGTAACGATGTTTAAATACACATTTCTACACTATTATAGTGATTTCATAGTTCCAAAAACTGTAATGCAGATGTAGCCATGCCATAAGGAAAATCAGTGAAGGTACACACATCAGGGACAAGAGGAGACAAAAAAAAAAGACTTAAACTGGGCTCCTAACTGGGAGACCAGTTTGAGGACAGTAAAAAAACACCTTAGCACAAAAAAAGCACATGAATATTCACATGTACACCACGTAAGCACATGACATGCATTGGAGGCGTTTGGGATGGGTGAGGGTAGGTGAGTGCGTATCTGTGTCAGTGTACTTGTGTGTGTGTGTGTGTGTGTGTGTGTGTGTGTGTGTGTGTGTGTGTGTGTGTGTGCGTGTGTGTATCCTGTGTTCAGAGCTTGAGAGACTGTCCTTTCACCTAGTTAAGCAAAAGTCAATAGTCCACAGCCTTTGCAGGAAATCAGAATTTTACAGTTGTTCTGACTACTCACAGCTCTACCCATAGCTTCGATCATAGCGGGTAGCCTTGTGGGGTTTATAACAACTGTCACTGCTTTCTTCAATTTCCAATAAACCAGGGCCAAGCCATCTCCGATCAGCAAGAATCCTGTTATAATGATTCCAAATAGGTAGATGTCTTCAATGTCCTCAGTCGAAAGTCCCGCCAGGCACACGACATGCCACTTCTCCTGCCATCGTGCCATCGGCAGGGAACGTCCCTCCAGGACGGTTGAACTCTTCCGAACCCAGGCTTTTCATCGAGAAGTGAGTGTCAATTGCATTTAGGGATCAGTTGATCAAATTCATAGTTCTTCTTTAGGTATTAGAGTTGAGGACTGAGAGGCTCTTCTGGGGTTAGAGATAGACACGACCAGATAAAAGACACGAGAAGCCAAGCAGGAAAGATAAGGGAGGGAGAGGGAGAGAGATGCGTCCACCTCCATCAGAGCCAAAGCAAGCAAACAGAATCTATTGTCTATTAAAGACAAAAACACTGACATTTTTTAAAAAAATTAACAACAATAATTTCATACTGAAGATAAAATCTTAGGATTTACCCAGTTATATTTCATCATCTGGAGTGCCTACAAGTAGATCATAATGTTTCTTCACCATCTTAAGCTCTGTTGAAACATCTGAAAAACAAAACTTTTTTTGAATTGTTTCCTCCCAGAGTGACACACATACGTAAATGTGTGGCTAAATGAATAATGAATAAATTTTAAAAAAAGATAAATAGACACCCTTATTGTTATCAGCAGCAAGATTGCAAAGATAAAGAGGAAAGGCAAACAATTTGAACCAATGTAATTACATCAAACTGTTTACCTGGGAGTAAGCACTCTTCATCCTTGAATGAAAGTCCAATAGATTCTTTCATAGTTTTCTCCAGAGTCCCCAAGACGTATACCTAATTTAAAAATGTAAAGTTTTTCATCACTTACCACAGACTAGGATATTGTGTTAAAGTTGTATTTAGAAGTTTCTCAGACTGGATTAAAAATATAAATGGAAACATACATTTCTGTATAAGTCTATTCCAGTTAAATACAGAAAAAGGCTTCAGGTGAGTTATGAGAAAATATGTTCATCATAATTCTTCATAAAACATGACAAACCATCAAATCGTGCAACTTCTCCAACATGGTGTTTTTTGCCTGTTCAAACATGTCCTTCTTTGAGTGCATGTGGTTTTTAATAGTCTCCCTCATGTTGTACAGTGTGTCTTCTCCTGTAAATGCTAAAGCCTCTACAAAAAGACAGAAAACTCTTCAGACTTTTTATGCTGAATAATAACAAACATAAATATCTGTTTAGGTGATAAGTTGTGAAGCTCTGATCTTATTTCTTACTCTTGTAGCCTTCTTCCATAATGTTCTCAACTGTCTCTGTCAGACTGCTGTAGACAATTTTCTTCTGCTTCTGGATGATTCTGTTTAATTTTGCCTTAATCTTTTCTTCCTGAGAGAAAAACATAAAGTATAGATGAACTTTACTTATTGTTTATCAATGGGCTAATGTATAAGAAAGTCTCATCTCTTACCTCTGTCTTGAGGAATCTGAGCTGTAGTTCAGCATTTTTGTACTTTTCAATCAGAGAATCAGTGTTAAGTGTAAATGTATTGATGACTCCGTTGAATGCTCCACAGTTTACTTCATTTCTAAAACAAGTAAACATTATGGTTTATAATGACAGAATTGGCAAGTTTACATGTTATGAATTACATATCTTGAATGATATTATGTGACTGTTTAGAACATGTTTTTATTACGGGAAGGTCTTTCTGAATTCTGCACCAATGCTGTCAATCAGACAGGAAGCCAACTTCATATTAAGGCTAATTGGTTTCCCTTTTTTTGGTTTGTAGACGCCACCATTCTCAATGACACACTTCCGTAAATTGTAAAAAGCACCACCATTCTTTCCCTGAAACACAAAAGAAAACTCAGAATTATTGCATTTTACCTTGTCATGTAAAATCTGCATGTATTTTAACTATGATTAAAAAACATACATCATATAAGAAGGATTTCTTAACACCATCATCAAGACATCTTTCAAAAGCCCTACAGGTGTCTTCCATTTCTTTTCTGACATTATCAAGTTGGAGGTTCATGTTTCTCTCAAGTTCTTCACACACCTCGCCTGTTTTACTATCCTGAAAAACATTTGAAGGAATAAAACCATGAAAACCACTTATTGTTTTTTTTTAAAAAAGATTAATGAAATTCAGTTGGTTTTAAAAGCCACTCTCCTGTAATAAGGACCTGAGAAGAAAAAATGGAGCATCAAAACCTTATGAATCAGTCAACCAATTAATAACTCATAGTTTAATAAATATAGCAAAACCAAAATTAGACACACAAACACAATTGATGAATCCCAACATGTAAGAGAATATTATTTTGTATCTTTTACTTGACCTTACCACTCCTCTGGAGTTGGCGTCTTGAATCAAAGACAGAATCCCGTGAGCTCGATTCACATAGTTTACTGTCTCTGAGTGACAGTCATTGAGATCTTGCAAAAATCTCTGAAGTTTGGGTATTTCTGTAAAATAAATTTCAATGTTACAATTTTACATTACGTACTTATTTGAAATTAAATAATTCTTTCAGTCAAGGCAAACTAAAAAAAACAAGTGCAATCCTATGGAGGACCAGGATTATCAAAATGAATGAATTAAAAATGCAATTAAATAATTAAATATATGTTTCATTATTTAATTAAAATTGGAATTAATTAATTAAATAAATATTTCAATAATCAATTAAATGTCCATTCATTACATTTAAAGCATTTATTTATTTCAAATTTTATTTTATTAATGACATATTTAATTAATTGTTTAATGATGTATTTATTTAATTCATTTTGGCACTCTTGGCCCTGCCTCTGTCTTCATGAATTTATTTTATCTGTCAGCCTCACCCATCAAAGTCAGGGGTCGGGGTTAACACTGCAACCGCTGCTTGTCTAACATCTGAATGGTTACAGTGCAAAGTAAGTCAAGACAGGTTGATCCTAAATAATTGACTGCTATGAAATGGTAATGGTGTGGACTTGGGGCAGCCAGGTATCCCAGAATGCATTTCAAATCACAAGCAGCAATGGTGGTGGCGCTCTAAACTGTAATTAAAGTTTTAAAATACCCCGTTTTTCTGTCATAAACTCTACTTTTAATATTATTTTAGCTGAGAATTCAATGGCCTAATCTTCACGTATCAGGTCAGGTTGTCAACATAGAATATGTTTGCAAAAGTTACCTGGTTATCGTCACAGTTTAACGTGGGCACTGTTGCTTTATGTAACGTAATGTCGGAGCAATATTCTGCACAAGATAATCAAATGTTTTTTTTTTTTCCTGAGCGCAGAGCTGCTGGAGCTTGTTTCCCTTGTTTCTCTGTAAAACGGGATTTACGGAGAGTGAAGGACACTTATAAAACTACAGAGCACCTCATAGGCGAACCCACTTTATCAGCAGCTGATATCGAATCACCGGCACACGGCTTTAATACCTCCGCTGAGTTTTAGCTCTCAGTGGAGGTTAAACAGCAGACATAATTTATTCAGGTTCTGTCTGTCAGGTCATGTTTACTTCACTGTTTCATTTACAACAGAGCAAATCTGATCGGCTCTGATTAAAGTTTTAGCTCTCACGTCTTTCGAATAGTCTGATAAAGATGATTTTCTGTAAAAGAATATCGATATGACCCCTGGCGTATATGACCGTTAGATTACTTTGATGCTGCCAACACTTTGTGCCTGCCCTGGGAAACCCTGGGTTAATTTAGAGAGCTGACAACCAGCTTCGTGTGAGCATTTATCCTGGTCCCAGTGTTAGGGTCAGAGATTCCAGAACACTGAAAAATATCCTGGATATGCTGATCTCGCTCTTGGTATATAGGGCTAAAAGACAGCAGCTGGACTTCATTGTTTACCTTCATGGTTAATATTCATAATGAAAATATTAGTTGAACATTGTGAAGTCTGTATGTTTCAAAGTGTCTAACAAGCCTGGTACACTTAAACCTGACAGTTAATATATGAGGGAAACACCAACGCCGTTATCTCTTTTAAAAAAGATTATGCGTTTATGCACTGGTGACACTGATTATTGAATGTAAAAGTCAAAGTTCATCAGATTTATTTGCTCTCTCTCCTCCTTAAACATAATTTTAATGTTAGTTTTAATTCAGAATTGGCGACTGAAACAAGTGTGGCACCTAGGAACATCAGGAGATAAAGACCCGATAGATATAACCTTAGTAAAGGAAGTTGGTGTTCAACCTCCAGTCAGCTGGGGTTATGACAGCCATGACACACCAACCAGATATCTGAAGATTAAAACATTACATTCTTGGCTAAAAAAATATTTAAAGTGTATTTGGTGACACACAAACTGGGTTTTTCAAAGTACAGCTCGGTTAGTTTTTACATGTCCTTGTTGGCGCAGAGAAACGCCCACTTAAAGAATAGCCACCAGGCCACAGCTATGGTTTTGACTCGAACAACATTAACCCCGCCCCCTAAAGTTGATGGGTGAGACTGACAGCTAAAATAAAATTCATGAAGACAGTGCCAGGGCCAAGAGTGCCAAAATAAATGTAAGATATATATAATTAAATAATTAATTAAATGTGTCAATAATTAGCTGATCAAATGTCTAATTAATTAAATAAACGTTTGAATAAATAATTTATTACATGTTTTAAATATATGGTATATTTAATTAATCAATTTGGTCACTTCTGGCCCCCTATACATTTGAGTTATTTAGAAGGAGACTTCACCTACCAGTTTCTTCTGGACTTAAGTAGTTTTGTTTTAGGAACTCTTTGGAGCTCACTGTGAACACTTTGAAACTGTCATCATTGAAGTGTTTCTAGGGAAAATGTGATTTGATTTTAAAGCATTCTTGCAACTGTGGAGAGTCTTTACATTAGATTTTCTGTCAGACTACAAAACTCACCCTAATTTTGCTTCGCTTGTTGAATTCTTTCTTTATTGCATCCGTGGCTTGCACGTTTCTTTCAGTGATTAGATCATGGACGTCAGCTGATGAACTAAAAGAAATGTAAATATATATATGTATATGTTCTGTACACCATCATCAGTTTGCAGGAGGTTGTGTGGTTTTGGCTTTCAGGTGGAGTTGTGGGAGACTCCTTTTGTGACCAAGCTGAGCTTTGCCTAGGTGGCTTTTGCACACTACTATTATTGTTATTAATCTTAAAGCATTATGAGACATGTCAGCAGGTTCTCGTTGGACCATGATTTGTTAGGAAGTTTCCTATAATCTCATAGATTTTGTACCCATACATAAAGCTACCATGATCCCATCATTGCATCTCTTTCTCCTCCTACTCCTGTTTTATTCTTCAGCCCCTCTTGCTGTTCCAAACCCTTGCCTGTGCCTCTCTTAAATAACTCAATTTCCTTCTGACCAGGCAATTCTCTGTTCATTACTCAGTCCACCTTATTTAGTAAACTTTATAAAATTGTCTCAGCATCTGAGACTCCCTTTGACCCAAATGTTCTGCATTCATTACAAAAAAGTCTCAACTCTGTGCTTTATCTCTCCTAGCTTGATTTTAAATGGAAACGCCGTGTAGTTGATCATCATGCAACATTAACTTACAGATCATCTGAATCATCAAGAAGATCAGACTTAGTGCAGATAAAATGAATTTGCTGACATTCGCCACCATTTCCAATCAGACTACTGACACTTTCCAGGATCTCCCAGGCCTCTTTCTCTGATGCTGCTCGATTAATTTCAGTCACAATCCACACAGTAGAACAATCTCCAAGTATCTGAAAGGAGAATAACATGTCTCAGTGCTTCATCAAAAGATGACATTACTGTTTGCACAAGAATACAGTATAAGCAAAGAGCAGTAGATATGAATTACCCCTTTCCACATCTGATCTCTGCTCTTGTTGCAGTCGCCATTTCCAGGAAGGTCCACAAGTGTGACATGCTGGAGAAGAGACTTGTTTGGCACCCTGACAGTCACACACTTCACTAGTGGCCAAAACCACTTTTTTCCTTCATTGCCTTCTTCTTGTTTTGAATCACTTCGTGTGTACTTGACAACTTTTGCACAGAGTTCATTAGCCTGCAATAAAAAACAAAAGTAAAGTAGTGCAGTTTAATTTCAGTCCTCAATGCAAGTGCTTTACAAAAACCATCAAAAAGTCAGTGACATAAAAGATGACAAAAGAACAATTAATTAAAGAAACTGGATCACTAAAGCTGGAGTAATTAGTTTTAAAGTTTAGCTTTAAATGATCAGATTGTGTACAAGTATGTCTATCACAGAAGTATGGGATAATGTAGCTTCCCCTTGTTTTATATTATACCAAGACAGTCCCCCACTCTGAGGGGTACTGAGGGGGAATTCAGGTAACGGTAATTTCTATGGAAATTGTTGCTTTGTTGAACTGTTTAAAACGATCAACCATTTGATAATTTAGAAAAAGGATCATTGCCAGCCACAATTAAAATGTATTTAAGAAGTTATTTAGGAAAAGTTTTATATTCTTTATAACTAGTATTGCTCTTAGCAGAAACAACTTTATGTGGGCATGTTGTATAGTTGTCCACAAATTTGAGACATTAAAAAGCTACTTTACACTGCTCCCTTATTTAAAAGGGGGCACCTCTGCGGGTAACTCAGCATGTTTTGATTGACAGAGTTGTACGCCCTTTTGCCTTTCCTGATGCAACTGGCTGTCAGACATTGACTTGCTAAAATTTCTGGCCCCTTTGATTCACTTTTTGCAAAAGGTGCTCAGTAGTGGATTTCTATGAATAAATTTAAAAGTCGTTAAAAATTTAACATGTGAAAAAGCCAACTATTTAATTAATTTTGCTGTATATATATGATAGATATAATGTAATATGAGAGTTTTTGTCTTACCGATTCACATGTCAAAATCTTCCTCTTGGATTGGAGAAATTCTGGAATTGCTTTGAAATATTTGCTCTTCATGAGGTTTTCAGAAGACTTTTGTTTCCATTCTTCTCCGTACACTGCTGACAGCTTTTCCACAGCATCATGATAATCATCATTATCTTCCATTTCGTGATCTCCATTTTTGCAAGAAAACTGATGAAATGACCACAACTCATCATTCCACTCCTAAAATAACATTTTTACATATTATTTATTGAGGCATGTACCCAGCCTTAAGCCCCCAGAACTGCACTGTAACACATGATTTAGTTTTAAGTAAAAATGAAACTTTTATAATTCAATTTACCTCTTTTGTGATGAACTCAATTTCTGCCTCATACTTTGAGCTGTAGGTGTTAGCTTCCAATTTAATCATGACTGAGGTGCAGGCATTGATACTTCCTGAGGGTAAAAGATTCTTCTCTTCAATAATGGCATTTATCAAAGAGCTCTTTCCAGCCCCAGTTTTACCAAAGACACCAACCAGCTCCCTCTTGTCTGTCTCCAAATCACTGATCTTTTTCCTGTTGAACAAGATTTTAAATATGGGTTAAACGATTCAGTCATGAAAACATTTTCAAATGTAATTAAAAAGGTTTAAAACAATATTTTGACATCACTAATGCATAAAAGAATAGTGATAGTCATTATAGTATATATGTCATTATAGAATATCCAAAGAATTATCATTAGACGTTTCAGTTTTAAACACTTATTCAGCTCATTGTTTATTGTTGTTTTGGTTCATAGCTTCATTGTTTATCAGAAAAAGTGCTGATGTTTCTATTATTAGCTATTGGATGACATTTTTTTTTAAGTCTAAGTGGGATACACATTAAAAGTCAGATGTTCAAACCATACAAATTATAGATGATTTAATGCTTTAGTATCATTAAATCATCTATAATTTGTATGGTTTGAACATCTGTTGTTGTTAGTCAGAAGTAAAACTTAACCTCCGAAGACCCGAACTCTTTCATGGCATGCATTTTTAATTTCTCTTTGCTATTTGGGCTGATTGGGACCTGATGAATGTAAAAACAAAGAATTATCAGATTTTTTCTTTTTACCTGAGTTTTGTTTCTAAAAAATTGGGATCCACATATGAGGACATTCGTTTTAATTTTGATAGAACAGTGGCAGTATAATGTCCTCGTAAGTGGATATCAGGCCCTTGTAGAGCAAAATTTAGTATTTTGGTCTAGACAACCCAAATTGTGATGTCTACATATGTGGACGCCAGGTCCTAGGAGGTTAAAAATAGATAAAGAAACCAACATACCAAACAGACTGACACTAGAAATAAATGGTTGAATATTGAACCAAAAGGATTTGAGACGAAGCTAAAAAATAAACTGCTTTGTTTGTGAAACCTGCACATGGTCATGAGTGGAACCATGCACATATATTACAAAACGTAAAAAATTAAGGCCCATTCATTAAAAAATATGAAAATTAATACTCACTTCAAGAAAGCACAGAGTTTGTCTTGGTGATGTAGTCTGGCATGTGCAAATGTCATGATGCTTTTTGCATCAGACAGTATGACTGATTCTGTGGGGATGAAAGTAAAGAACTATTTAGCAGGACTTCTAAACTAGCATGTAGTCAATGTAAAGTCTCATAACAACAACAACAAAAAAACAACAAAAAATTTTGTTCACAAAATTCACAAAAAGTGTGAATTAGAGTATATCAGGAGCATAATGTGACAACTTACCGACAGACATTAATATATCATGCAACATGCTGACTGTTAAAATTTGATAGCAGCCCAAAGAAAAAGTAATTTCTAACACCAAAGCAGAAACTGACTGTGGCGGGTCGTGGGTGGCGGTGTTGCGACAGGGAAGGCATCATAATCACTCTTCGCTAGCTTAAGAATGGTGTAGGGTCCTGTAATATTGTTGTTGTTGTTGTGGGTATGTGTGGAAGTGTATTAGAACAGCAACCATAGATAAAAGTATGTTGAAGAACGTAGAATTGTGGTCACGTCATGCCTCATTCCTGCCACGCCGACATTTTATATTTTGGAAAAATTGTCCTGCACAGAAATTTAACCCTATAGTGGCTTCAACTGTAAAATTGTTCAGAAAGAGTTGTAAATACCTGCAAATCCCGGCACAGACAGACGTTGTCGCTTAGCTGGTGGTTGTAACCTGCTGGCGTCACTTTGAAGATCAGATTTTCTCTTTCCTGATTGGACAAAAACAAAAGAGAAAGAACAAAAAAAGTTTCTCTCAGCATTGAAAGTTGTTCTCAAAGTTTGATTGTACAAAATAGTGCTGCCTTTAAAACAGATTAATGAGATGCAATAAATAAGATGCATGTGTCTCACCTGTATCACTTGTGGATGGAAAGACCTGAGGATGAAATTTAGTTATACAGATAATTATTCAACCAGCAGATTGATGAAGAATAGATTATAATTACATTCCTGCTTAACATCTCATCCTGTGAGACTATTCTTTTTCCTAATTAAGTCTCAGTCACACTGACCTGTAGAGACGGTCGGTGAACCCCTACAGCAAGTTGTAGTTGCTAGGTTAAAATGTATATTAACCAACCCCCGATGAATTAAGTTTTTAGATTCAGTCTCTATCAGCCAGAGGATGGAGCTTTACTTTGTCTCAAGCAGTTGGCCCAAATGTCTGAAATTCAGTATAATCCTTACCTGAGCCAAATCAGCTGCTTCTTGCTCCTGTTTACACTGCAGATAAAAAGTGCAAAGCTGTGTACAATATTGAGCACTTAAACATGTATTAAAAATGTCATTTGTCATATAGACACAAAATCTTAAGGCAACAAAACAACACAATTGAAAAGAAATGACTGTTTCCTGATTTGAGTTTTGTTATTCCCACAATCAAAAGATTTTAAATCCAAATTAGTGAAGAATTAACAAAAATTCCACTACATACGGTATCTAGATAATTCAAACCTCTATGCACTAAAATAGAATTGATAGAAATTAATTACCTTTAACAGCCTGAGGTTCTTCTTTAATTTCACTCTTGGTCCAGCTTTTGTGATCACATGATCAATTTCTTCATCATCAAGATCATACAGACTTTCTGCATCAATTTCTTTATCTGCAGTTAAAGATAACGTTGAAGAGATAAAGATTATTCTCAACTTGCTTCAGAAATTCTTGTTAAATGAGTGAAAGAGATGAATGCTCTTCAGTTTTAATTTAACTCACTTTTATGTCTAAAAACATTTTGTGCAGTATGGACAAAAAACCCAAGAATCTATGTTATCAGATGTTGTTTCAGAGTCAACAGATCACATCAGTATCAATATCTGTACTCATTAGGGATTCACGTTAATACTTTACCTTTAAATTTCTCCACCCACTCACTTAGCCCCCATTCAAGCAGTTTGTTTCTTACAAAATCATCCATGACGAAGAAATGAAACTGAAATATACAATTTAATATTTAACCAGACAGCACTGCTTTACAGATTAGATCTTTGTGATCAACTTCTCCTTTAATGCATATATAATCAGTGACACTGATATTAAATTAAAATTAAAAGTTCAAACTGCTCACCTTTTGTCGAAAGTAATGCTGGAAAAGGCTGCTGAGGGAGATGTGAGGGAAGCAATGAGACACAAACAGGGAACAGGCGGGAAAAATAAAAATCAAGCAAAAAGCAAAGTCCACAAACAGATACGATTAAAAACAAACTGGAACTGTGTGGCTCAGACTGCACAATTGCAACTGCTTCTATTCATATAATAGAAAGGCAAATCCAACATGAGTAAAGTGCCTGCAGGGAAAAGCAGAACTGATAACAGAGAAAAGCAGGAAGAGGTGGTGTTTGTGCAGAAGGGTGTGGCTGAAAGACAGGTAGCAACCTGCCAGACAGTGTTTTTTTTTGTCTTACACAACCCAAAGGGATAAAAGTTTACAAATGTTATGGGTTAAAAACAAGACAAAAACACTGTTTTATGTATACTTACAGTAAACTGGAAAACAAAACATTAAAAAAGAAGAAAAAAAAGTGGTCAACACAACAGACAGCTCAACATGTTAGGAATCTGCTCACTTGGATTTATATAGCGCTTTTCAAGGCACCCAAAGCACTTTACAATGCCACTATTCATTCACTCTCACATTCATACACTGGTGGAGGCAGCTACAGTTGTAGCCACAGCTGCCCTGGGGCAGACTGACAGAAGCGAGGCTGCCATATCGCGCCATCGGCCCCTCTGGCCAACACCAGTAGGCAAGTAGGGTAAAGTGTCTTGCCCAAGGACACAACGACCAGGACAGAGAGCCCAGGGATCGAACCGGCGACCTTCCGGTTACAGATGCGATCCCCAACCCCCTGAGCCACGGTCATTATTTTATAATGATAAAAATAATAATAATTCAATTTTACTACAGCAAAAGAGACAAGAAAAAAGGGACTCGTCTAGTTGCAAAGAGAAAAATGTAGTACTTTTTAGTCTTTCCAGAAGCTGATGCTGTATGTCTAAGACCATGTCTGTAATATGGTGGCTCAGAGTTTCGTTTGAGAGTGGGATGGTCAGTAGCTTGTTTGCAGCAGCCTCTCCCATCAGCTCATGACACATATACAGTATACAGCAACGGGTAAAATCAGTTCAGTGCTTTGTTGGGTATCATTAGTCCACACTTTGCACACTGGGCTCTCAGGTCCGCCTCGTTTCCTCCGTTCACAAACACATACTTCAGGAAGTCAGGGTTAAACTTGCACAAAAATGTTGCCTTGTGGACGGGGGGTTGTCACTTTTATATTCATTTTTGCATTTTAAGAACTTCTCCATATATTTTGCTATTTATAAACAGCGGGCAGACTGTCTTCTTCCGGTTGCTTATTGAGGCTGATTAAACAACCCCCAACAAGTGGTGGGAAGCTGCATTGGAAGTGAAATTATTTTTAATGGACAGGGACACAGGTGTAAAATACCATTTTTTTTCCAGCCCTCAAAGTGTGGCTCATGGCCCAGTGGTTAAGAATCACAGACTTATGTGATGCAGTATCAGTTTATACTGTAAATAACTACAAGAGGGTGGACAGGGTATGCTTTGACACATTTGTGAATCATTCAGAAAAACTGAGAAAAAGGTTGATGAAAGATTGATATTTATTCTGGTTCTTCCCCCCCCCCCCCTCAAAAAACAAAAAGAAAGCAAACAAACAAAAACAACAAAAAACAATTCAAATTCAGAAGGATTTCCATAAGAGTAATGGGAGTAAAGACTATTCAGAGACTTATTTCAATGACTTTAAGCATTGAAAAATGCCTTAGTGGAATAAAATAAACTTCTGGCTATAATATTATGAATATGGCTGTAAAACTGTAATGAAGAAGGTCAAATGTTTTTGTCAAATTTTTATAACTTATATTAACAACTGAACCTAAACAAAAATGATGGCATTTTAGGATACTCATACTGATAGGTTTGTAGCTTGAACCTATTCGCTGGAAAGTTGAAGACAATATAATTACACAGCAAGCAAGACACGAAGTAGGCAAAGTTCTTCATGTTCCTCGTGCACGGGAGAGAACCGGACAAACGCCGTTCCTTCGCTTGACCCCAGTTGCTCTCTCTGCTCCCCCGTAACACTGCTCTTTTATTGAGGTTACATGAATATGCATAGGTTCATTAACATATGACGTCTACATACAAACAAAGAGTACCTTTCCTGTGCGTTGTGTAAGTGTGTGTGTGTGTGTGTGGGGTCAGAGTGTGACCCCATAAATGACTTCCCTTAACCTGCTGGTCTGGAAAATCCAACAATCCATCTATATGTAAAAAGCACTTAGACTAAAACTGACATAGCTACGTTAATCCTACCGTAAAACATTAAAACAAGGTACGACCTCTTCCCATGCTCCCAGGATGTAGGTGTGCATTCCTGGAATGCATTCCTGGAATGCACACCAAGCCTTTGCAGCCTGCTAAAGATCACACATCCTATCACTACACAATTGATTATACACCTCTAAGCATATATGGTTAAATATTGCTAAGCATAAATGACAATCAACAATACAAAACCTAACACATGCTAAAAAAAAAAGAAAAGAAAAGAATATTTCCTGAAATGTAGAATTTATTACAAAGGTAAATTGGGTTTAACATTTTAAGACAAGCTTTTAGAAATAATGTGATAATATATTTTTAATACAAAATATACTCAATTCTTTTGTGGGGAAGGAGTTAGTGCCTCAAATGGCACCGAGTACTTGGAAAGACCTGCATAACAACAAAAATGGCTGTTAGGTGTGACAGAGGTCAAATTCTGTTAACAACACACAATGTTGTCAAAATATCACAACAGATTCTGCTAATACTACTGCCAAAACAATGTTTATGTAATATTTTTTGTGAAGAATAAACATAGATGACAGGTCAGAAATGTTATTGGGAGCAAGAAACGTACAATTAAATAGCGTGACAAGAAGTATGAATGTGTCCTTGAAAAAAAACTTTTACAAATAAATCTATGACTATTGGTGTTTCTTATACACAAATCCATCTAATCCTAATTCCGATATTGTTTTCAAGAAAAACACCCTCTGCTGTGGCTCTAATGTATGAAAACCTGTCAAAAACACATATTTGAGTGTGAAAAGTTGAGATGAAAAACTACTTTTAATCTCATAATCAGACAATTAATTCCACAGTGAAAAGAACTCCTGAAATTGAGGGAAAAGATGGACACAATGTAGAGGGATAAAACTAGTCATGTAGCTACAGGACGGAGATGGAGCTACTTACCCTAACTGACCAATCCTGTCTCAAAGTTTACAAGATCAATTTTAGGATTCATTAGATTATAGTACTAAACATTTCAGAAATCCCTACCTCTAAATATTTGTAGGTAAATACAATTACAATTTTAATTTTAATTTTAGATAAAATACATTGATATTCCATTTAATTACAGGGGAACTACGCGTTAGGTATGGGCTGTATTATAAAGTGTTGCCATGTTTTTATCTTCTGTGTTAAGTAGACTGATTTTACATGTACTGAAATGTGTTATATAAATGTCATTGGCATCTGAATGAGCCATAACTAAATTCATAAAATAAAAACATTAAAATAGATTTGAAATATATGTAGAGTGATGTAATGTAAATCTCTTTCAGTTTTTCCTCAAACTGCTCTGTCAGCCTCAAGATTTGAATCATTAAAGATACAGACATTCTCAAAATCAAAGTCAAATGTCACCAAACAACTTTTAAATAGACCCAACAAAAACAACTGAAAATGATTGAGACAAAATCAATCAAAGATGGTTTTTTGATTTAATCAGCACTTCCTCTGGGAGAACCTGTATGTGTCCAGGTTTCTGCAGTTTCTATCCAGTCAGCAAATCTGAAACATCCAAAACTATCACGGTTCTGGGCCTGTGGCCCAGTGTTTTGATTCTATATTATTGTTTATTGGTCTGTTTTCCTTTGGATTCTTGGCTTATGACTGCTGGTGTTTTGGTTTCTGTTCTATATTTCTTAGCTTCTGTATTCCTTTGCCCCGTGAGTTTATGTTGTTTCCCAGTTTAGTTTAGTTTGCTTTGTAAGCTTGATTTCCTGTGCCAGCAAATAAAGCTGAGATCAAAGCTTTTGAGTTCATCCCTTGAGTCTGAGTCCTGCATTTTGGGTCCACCACTCCTGCTTGCCTGCCTGCCACACAGCCAACCATGACAAAAACAGAAAAGGAGGTTTAACAAAGAGCGATAACAAATGGAAACTTTGGTTTCCATTGGTTCCATTAAGGACAATTGTTTGAATTTAAAACATTTAATGTAATACTGATGATGACATTTAAGGATTTACCAAGTGATGTTTCATCGTCTGGAGTGGCTGCAAGTTGATCATAATATTTCTTCACCATCTCAAGCTCTGTTGAAACATCTGAAAAACAAAATATTTTTTTAATTGTTTCTCGCCACAGTAACAGGTCACTCAGTAATTTAGAAGTTAATTAAAAAATAGATAGACAAATAGGTAAACAGACTGTGCTATCAGGTGCAAGACTGTAAAGATAAAGTGAAAAGGAAGGAAGCATTATCAAATGTAATTACAGCAAACTATGCTGTTTACCTGGGAGTAAGCTCCCATCAGTTTTAAATGAACTTTCAATGGATTCCTTCATAATTTTCTCCAGAATCTCCAGGATGTTTACCTATTTTAGAAATTGTAATTACTTATCACAGATCAAAATGTGTTAAAGTCAAATACAATGACATTTAGAAGTTTCTCAAACTGCATTAAAAATATAAATTGAACATACATTTTTGTATAAGTCTATTCCAGCTAAACATAGAAAAAGCCTTTGCGTGAATTATAACAAAATATGGTAATCATATTTCTTCATAAAACGTGACAAACCATCAAACTGTGCAACTTCTCCAACATGGTATTTTTTGCCTGCTCAAACATGTCCTTCTTTGAGTGCACGTGGTTCTTAATAGTCTCCCTCATGCAGTACAGCATGCCTTCTCCTTCAAATTCTGCAGCCTCTACAATAAGACAGAAAACTCCAATCAGATTTCTCATGCCATATAGTGTTAAATACAACTATGTGTTTGTGGTAAGTAGTGATGCTCTGATCTTATTTCTTACTCTTGTAGCCTTCTTCCATAATGTCTTCAATTGTCTCTGTCAGACTGCTGTAGACTCTTTTCTTCTGTTTCCGCATCATTCTGTTCAGTTTTGCCTTAATTTTTTCTTCCTTAGAGAAAAAACATGAAATATGGATGAACATCATTTTAAAATCACATCAAGTCATAATACATTTTTTTCCTTTTACTGTCCATTAGTTTAGACAGGAAAGTTTCATCTCTTACCTCTGTCCTGAGAAATCTGAGCTGCAGTTCAGCACTTTTGTACTTTTCAATCAGAGAATCAGTGTTAAGAGAAAATTCATTGATGACTCCGTTGAATGCTCCACGTTCTGAGTCATTTCTAAAACATATAAACGTGGTTATTAATGGCAGAGTTGGCAAGTTTATATGTTATAAATTATCTTGAATAATATTATGTGACTGTTTAGAACTTGTCTTTTCTTACGGGAAGATCTCTCTGAATTTTTCATCAATGCTGTCGGTCAGACATGAAGCCAGCTTCATGTTAAGGTTTATTAGGGTCCCTTTTTTTGGTTTGTGCACGCCACCATTCTCAACAACACACTTCAGTACCCTGCAAAAACCATTGTTCTTTCCCTAAAACACGAAACAGAATTATTTAAACACATATTCATGTAAAATCTGTTGTTTTGTTACAACTAGATTTAAAATACATACACGATACAAGAAGTTCTTGAGTTTTTCTCCATATGAACCTTTGGATTTTTCAACGCCATCATTAAGACATTTTTCAAAAGCCGTAAAGGTCTCTTCCATTTCTTTTCGGACATTTTCAAGCTGGAGGTTCATGATTCTCTCAAGTTCTGCAAACACCTCGCCTTTTTTACTATCCTGAAAAATATTTGAAGTAATAAAGCCATAAAAACTACTTGTCGTTTCTTATAGGTTTTTGAATTCAGTTGGTTTTAAAAGTCACTCTTCTGTAATAAGAACCTGAGAAACTAAATATAACAGCAAAAATGCATGAGACAATTAATAACCCATAAATTAATTAAAAATAAATAAATAAATAAATAAATAAATAAGAAACACAAAGATAATTGATAAATCCCAACACGTAAGAGAATGTTGTTGTATATCTTTGACTTGACCTTACCACTCCTCTGGAGTTGGCTCCTTGAATCAAAGACAGAATCCCATAAGCTCCATTCACATAGTTTACTATCTCAGAGTGACAGTCATTGAGAACTTGCAAAAATCCCTGAAGTTTGGTTATTTCTGTTAAGAAGAAATTTCAGTGCCACACTTTAACATTACACACTTTAATTCAAATTAAATAATTCTTCTTTCAGTCACAGCAAACTAAAACAACATGTGCATCAAGACTTCACCTACCAGTTTCTTTTGGACTTAGATGCTTCCCTTTTAGGAACTCTCTGGAGCTCACTGTGAACACTTTGAAACTGTCATCAGTGAAGTGTTTCTGGGGGGAAAATGATTTAATTTTAAAGCATCCTTACAACTGTGGATAGTCTGTATTATTTTCTGTCAGCCTATAAAACTCACATTAATCTTGGTTCGCTTGTTGAATGCCTTCTTTACTTCACCCTTGGCTTGCATGTTTCTTTTAACTATTCGATCATGGATATCAGCTGATGAACTACAAGAAATGTGCATATATGTACTGTTACCATCATCACTATTATCATCACCATCATTAATTTGGGGCAGGCTGGGTGGTTTTGATTTACTCTTGGGCTACATCCACATGTCCACAGGTATTTTTGAAAACTGGGAATTTCTGTTTTCGTTAAAAAAAAAAACCCAAAAAACATTCACATGTGCACTTAAAGGAAAATATCTCTGTTCACATGTAAATGCAAACACAAAGTCAAACGCTGTCAAGAACATGCCAAATCCTAACCTTCTAGAAATGTTGGCCAATCAGAACTGTAGAAGCCTGGGAGGGAACGAGTAATGACAGTATTTTAGATTTTGCCTCACTGGCTCTCTTGGCCAGAGTTTATTCAAATAAGAAAGAAACTGACAAATACTACATTAGTCTGAGTGATTCAAAATCATAAGTCACAGCGCTGTGAAATATGGCTGGTGTAGATTCACAACTTAGGAATAGACAAGATGCATACAGCATACAAATATTTAGTTTTATAAAATTAAATTTAAATGACGTGCCAGGAGTTCGCTGTTCTCGAGTTATCGAGCTGGTGGGTAACAGATGTCTCCGAAAAAGTCGGCGCACTTTTGCAAATATGTGATGTTTTGATAAACCAAGCACATACTTGAAGTTTACACAGCTACATTCTCACCTGAAAATCTCTTGAAAGTTTATTTTGTGACCCAGAAAGAGTAATATGAGTAATATTAAAACTAAGTAGCTGCCGCCATTGTTGGAAACTGGAATAGGCTGGGCCGCGCTATGAATTCTGGGATATGGTGGGCCACGAAGGATACACCCGACCCATCCTTCAAATCTGGGGAAATGAAGGACTTCCGATTTCCTATAATCTCATACATTATGTGCAACATACATAAAAGCTGCCATGATGTCAGTTACATCACTTTCTCCTCCTGCTCTCCTGTTATTGCTCACCCTCTTCTCTCTTGCTGTCCCTCTAGAACTAAAAAATTCCACTGCCTGTCCCATTCTCCGCTGTTCCACTCTGGCCAGGGAATTCTCTGTTCATTACTAATTCCACCATCTTCAGTAAACGTCATAAAATTGTATCTCATCTGAGACTGCTTTTGACCCAAATGTTCTGTATTAATTTTTAAAAAAGACTCCACCCTGTGCTTCATTCTTTGTCTAGCCTGGGTTTATCTTACATGGAAACACCGTGTAGTTGATCAGCATTCAAAATTTACTTACAGATCATCTGAATCATCAACAAGATCAGACTTGGTGCAGATAAAATGAATTTGCTGACATTCGCCACCATTTCCAATCAGACTACTGACACTTTCCAGGATCTCCCAGGCCTCTTTCTCTGATGTTGCTCGATTAATGTCAGTCACAATCCACACAGTAGAACAATCTCCAACTATCTGAAAGGAGAATAACATGTCTCAGTGCTTCATTGAAAGATGACTGTTTACAGACAACACAGTATAAGCAAAGAGCAGTAAATGTGAATTACCCCTTTCCACATCTGATCTCTGCTCTTGTTACAGTCACCATTTCCAGGGAGGTCCACAAGTGTGACATGCTGGAGAAAAGGATTGTTTGGCACCCTGACAGTCACACACTTCACTAGTGGCCAAAACCACTTTTTTCCTTCATTACCTTCTCCTTGTTTTGAATCACTTCTTGTGTACTTGACAAATTGTGCAGAGAGTTCATTAACCTGCAATAAACAGCAAAAGCAGTGCAGTTTAATTTCAATCCTCAGTGCAAGTGACGATCGCTTTCTCAGAGATTTTGAGAAAGCGATTCATGCCTTCATCTCATCGCGTCTCGACTTCTGTAATAGCCTCTATTCTGGTATTGCCGCTACATTAATTGTCCGACTGCAGCTAGTCCAGAACGCTGCAGTACGGCTCCTAACTGGGACACGCAAGCAGGATCACATATCTCCCATACTTGCATCATTACATTGCCTACCAGTCAGCTTTCTAATTGATTTTAAAAATTTTAACACTTGTTTTTCAGACGTTACATGACCAAGCCCCTATATATCTTGCTGATCTCCTAACCCGGTATTCTCCCCCAAGATTTATTTATTTATTTAAATTTTTTATTTTATTTAGAACGAGGGGCAATACATATCAATGAACATTTTAACAAATATAAATATGCCAGGTTATAGCCTTGGGCTAATTTCCATCTGCACACCCTCTGGCAGGTTGGTGTTAAACACAAGTTAGTAAAAACATACAGAGACACTATTTACAGGTCATGTGACAAGGACAAAAACAGTGATCACATTATACCAGAACAAACAATGACAAGAAGAGTGGACACAGAGGACAGTATAGATAACAATAACAGAAACACATCAATTATATTGCACAAACCCCAGTATTGCACATGCCCTGACTGTCCTGATATTGCACTCACCCATTACACTCATAGTTGTTTCCCTTTTCTTTAATACACTAACTCTTTTTTCACGTCCAATATAAAGCATGATTAATAAACATGATCACATGTTTGAGTGTACCTCAGTCGCCCTTTTAAGTGACTCTTAAAGATGGGTAGACTTGTAGGGTCTTGAGGTCTGCCGACCAAATGCTTTTGGTTGTCCCAAGGTCGAGGTTAAAACACAGAGGAGACCGGGCATTTGCCGTCACTGCTCCTAAATTATGGAACTCATTGCCTTTTCATATCAGGACCTCTCCAACAATGTAGACTTTCAAAACCCGTTTAAAGACCCACTTTTAATCTCTGGCTTTTAAATCAAGATGAGACTGTTTCTATTGTTCTTTCCATGATTCCATTTTTGTTTAATCTATACTTAAACGAAAATACAATATATTTTATTTGGTATGTCTTCCGCTTTGACTGTGTTGATGTACAGTACTTTGGTCAACAACTGTTGTTTTTAAAAGAGCATTATAAATGAATAAACTTGAAACTTGAAGTGCTTTACAAAAACCATTAAAAAGTCAGTGACATAAAAAAAAATACTAAAAGAAATTGGATCACTAAAAGCTGAATAATTAGTTTTCAATTTTAGATTGTGATCATCTAAAGATCATTGTTGGATCTCAGTAGGATCTGTTTTGTTGGGATCACTGGATCTGTTTTCAGTGTTTTGTGTTTTTTGGACTTTTGAATCTACGCTGCATGCTATTTTCAGAAGCGAGATATGTTTCCAATTCTTAGTCTTTTGTTAATTTGGTCAGTTCCCTTTTGTGTCCCGGGTTGTCCTAGTTTCACCTGTGTGCATTTTTCCCAGCATCCCCAGTGTGTAGTCTATAATGGCTGTCTGTTATAGTAGTAATATGAGAGTTTTTGTCTTACTGATTCACATGTCAAAATCTTCCGCCTGGATTGGAGAAATTCTGGAATTTCTTTGAAATATTTGTTCTCCATGAGGTTTTCAAAGGACTTTTTCCATTCTTGTCCATACAGTGCTGACAGCTTTTCAACAGCATCATGATAATCATCGTCTTCCTTTTCCTGATTTTTATTATTGTCAAGAAGCTGACGAAATGACCACAACTCATCTCTCCACTCCTACAAAAATAGATGACAAGCCATTTATTGAGCCATGTACTCAGGCGTAAGCCCCCAGAACTGCAGTGTAACACACATACTAAACAAACTTTGGGAATTTGTTTTACCTCTTTTGTGATGAACTCAATTTCTGCTTCATACTTTGAGCTGTGTGTTTTAGCTTCCAGTTTTATCATGACTGAGGTGCAGGCATTGATGCTTCCTGAGGGTAAAAGATTCTTCTCTTTGATGATGGCATTTATCAAAGAGCTCTTTCCAGCCCCAGTTTTACCAAAGACGCCAACCAGCTCCCTCTTGTCTGTCTCCAAATCACTGATCTTTTTCCTGTTGAACAAGATTTTAAATATGGTTAATGGATTCAGTCATGAAACATTTTTAAGCATGCTTCAAAAGATTTCAAATGTATAATCATGGTAGTGATTATTCAATGAATCATTACTAGATATTTCAGTTTTATACACTGGTTCCACAAATCGTTTATTATATGTTGTTTTATTTTACTACAGAATTATTTCAGCATCTGTAATTGTACTGCTGTATGTCAGCAGTCTGTGTCATACAATCTGACACAAGAGACAAATTGGTGAATATTAAACCTAAAGGGTTCATGAACAGGTGGCACGGTGGCATGATGTTTAGCACTGTTGTCTCACACCAACATCTGGCTGGGGGGCTTTTTATTTTGAGTTTATCGCCATGTTTGCCTCGGTTCTCTCCCGGTACTCTGTCTTTCTCCAACAGTCCAAAGACGTGCAATTAGTATTGATTCTAAATCCTCATCAATGTAGTTACTCATTCCTGTGACTGTTTCTTGGTGTAACCAGTGTGACATCCATAAAGTTTGTTTGGACTGAATTATTTTAATTGTTGTGATTATCTGAATATACTGCTTATTTTTGCGTGTGTCAAGACTCTTGAAAGATGGACCATCTTCTCTGTGTGACTAAATTACACATAACTAGCAGCTTCTGAGGATGTTTTACAGCCATTTGCATCTGCATTTTTGCTTTCTTTAAAAACAATCTCTCTGTGATCTGTTTGTGAAACTGTCACACGATCAGGAGTGGAACCAGGCCCATACATTACAAAATATAAAAAAAAACTTAATACTCACTTCAAGAAATCACTGAGTTTGTCTTGCTCATTTAGTCTTTCATGTACAAATGTCATGATGCTTTTCACATCAGACAGTATGATTGATTCTGTAGACAAAAAAAGTAAAAAAAAAAAAAAAAAAAACTATTTAGAAGGAATTATAGATTAGAATCAACAGAAAATGTAAAATCTCATGTTTAAAAAAAAAACAAACCTGTGTGAATTAGAGTATATCAGGATCATAATGTGACCACTTACCAATCAAACTTACTATACCATGCATCATGTTACTGTTAAATTTTGACAACAGCCCAAAGAAAAAGTAATTTCTAACATCAAAGATGAAACTGGCATGTTGGACAAATTGTGCTGAACAGAAATTTAACCCTATAGTGGCTTAAACTGTGACACTGTTTAAAAAGAGACGTAAATACCTGCAAATCCTGGCACAGACTGACGCTGACGCTTAGCTGGTGACTGCAACCTGCTGGCATCACTTTGAAGGTCTGATTTTCTCTTTCCTGATTGGATAAAAACAACAAAACAATAAGAACAAAGCATTGAAAGTTACTCTTAGTAAAGTTATGTAGATTGCAAAAAAATACTGGTGCCTTTAAAACACCGACTAATATGAGATGCAATAAATACGATGCATGTGTCTCACCTGTATCACTTGTGGATGGCAAGACCTGAGGATGAATATGAGTTATACAGGAAATTATCACTATTTGTATTGGCATTGCTCTTTAACAGCATTTAAAGGACACTAACGTACAAGTTTTACAATCAACAAACTTAAATGCAGTTATGTTTTCAACCAGCAGGCTGATGAAGAATACATTATAAATTACCTTCTTCTTAGTAAACATCTATGAGACAATTCTTTTACATAATTAAGTCCCAGTCATAAAGACCTACAGAGACAGTTGGCGAATTCCCTAGCTAGGGCAAAATGTATATTTCCCAACCCCCTATGAATGAACTTTTTAGATTCGGTCATTTATTGGTTTCTGTAGAGAGTCGTCAGTTTCTATAGACCAGAGAATGGAGCTTTACTTTGTCTCAGGCAGTTGGCTCATGTGTCTGAAATTCAGTATAATCCTTACCTGAACCACATCAGCTGCTTCTTCATGCTCCTGTTCATACTGCAGATAAAAAGTGCAAAGCAGTGTTTAATATTAAGCTCTTAAACATGTATTAAAAATTGTATTTGTCATATGGATATTAAATCTGAAGGGGGAAAAAAACGGTTTTAAACTGACTTGAAAAGAAATGACTGTTTCCTGATTTGAGGTTTGTTCTTCCTACAACAGTAAAAACAGTTTAAATCTATATTAGTTAAGAATTAACAAAATTACTCTACAAATAATTACTGCCAGTGAGACACAGGAGGCCAGGATCACAGAATTGGAGATTCTGCTTCGCACCCTCAAAAATCCCTTAGCTAGCCAAGCCCCTTTAGCCCGTGGAGCCAAAGGTAGCGTAGGCCCAGTTAGCTCCCTCTGGCAGATTGTCCCGAGCAGCCGGGGAAACAGGATGACTGGGTGACGATGAGGACGAAGCACAGTCTTAAACAGAAGCTCCTGGTACACCACCAATCTGTTCATGTGTCTAACTGTTTTTACCCACTTTTCGAAACACCTGCCAGGCATCAAACTCTGGTAATTGGTGATTCTGTTCTGAAACATGTAAGGCTAGAGAAACCAGCAAAGACGACCAGAACAGATGACACTGAGGGAAATGTAAAACTGAAAGGTAAACATAAATTCGGCAAAACTGTAATTTACGTCGGCAGTAATGACATCTGGTTATGTCAATCGGAGGTACTAAAATTAATATTGAATCAGTATTTTACCGTATAGGCAACAAAATCAAGCTTTCCTTTGTCTCAGGCAGTTGGCTAATATATCTGAAATTCAGTAAAATCCTTACCTGAACCAAACCAGCTACTTCTTCATGCTCCTGTTTACCCTGCAGATAAAAAGTGCAAAGCCGAATACAATACTGAGCACTTAAACATGTATTAAAAACTGCATTTCTTGTATAGATACTGAACCTCAATGCAACAAAATAGTTTGTAACTTAATTGAAAAGAAATGACTGTTTCTTGATTTGTGTTTTGTTCTTTCTAGCACAATCAAAACATTGCAAATCCATCTTAGTAAAGACTTAACAAAAATTGCGCTAGATATTATTACGAGTGTTGGGCAAATTACTTTGAAAAATTAATTTGTTATAGTTAGTAGTTACTTCTTCAAAAAAACTAATTGAGTTAGTAACTGAGCTACAATATTTTAAAAATAAATTATTACTAGGAAAAGTCACTATTTGTCATGGTGCTGGCTCGTTGACCCAGCGTTTTCTGTTTTTATGATTATTTTCCTCTGTTCTAGTTATTCCGATTTTGGTATTCTGTGTCCTCCCCCTTGTGTCCGGTTTGTGTTCTAGATTTCCTGTTTTATTCTGAAGGTCTCTGTCTGTTGTCATTGTGTTCAGCTTGTGTCCTCCAGTCATCATGTGTATTCGGATCAGCTGTTCTTCCCTCCTGTGTGTGATTACCCGATTACCTTGTGTGTGTATATATAGTGGGTGTCGGTCTGTGTTCGTTGTTGGCTCATGTGCGTTCTATGGTGTTTTGTTCCTGTCTCTGCGTCTCTCTGCCCCGCACCCCTTTTGTATGCTCTCAGGTTTGTCATTTAGTTCTCCCAGTTTAGGTTTCTTCAGTTGTTTTGTCATGCCTCACTGCCTGTTTTTCCCCCACTCCACCACTTGTAAATAAACGTCACTCGAATCATCAGTCACTGCCGCATTTTGGGTCCTCCTTTTCCTCCAACACCACACAGCTCACCCCGCCAGCCGTGACACTATTACGTTACAAGGTTACAAAACTGAGTTTACAACTACACATTTGATTTACAAGTACAAAATATTTATGACCACAATTTAAGCCCATAGAAAGGGTGGAGTTTTTTGTTTTTGCTCCTTAGAAAATGCAGCTTTTACAGTTTCCTTCTGCAGAAAAATAGCAATAGTATTCAGGAGAAAATCTATCTAATTTATAGTATCCACTTTAAATTAGCTGAAGACAGCTTCATACATCTGTGTGTTGAAAAACTGTAACACGTCCACACCACATTTGTTAGTAACAGTAACAGCGTTGTAACAATAGAAATAGCAAATAGTTAGATTACTAGTTACTGAAAAAAGTAACAGCGTTCCTTTTATCGCTGCTGTTTCCATCACTGATTATTACTGCCAGTGCATTTTTAAATATACAGATAATTCTAACAAAAATTCACCTCTGTATATAGCAATATATATATATATATATATATATATATATATATATATATATATATATATATATTTTTTTTTTTTTTTTTTTTTTTTTTTTTAAACTTAATTACCTTTAACAGCTTGAGTCTCTTCCTGAATTTCACTCTTGGTCCAGCTTTTGTGATCAAATTCTCAATTTCTCGATCATCAAGCTCATACAGACTTTCAGCATCGATTTGTTCATCTGTAAGAAAAAATAAAGTTGCAGAGATAAAGTTTATCCTCAACTTGCTTCAGAAATTCTTCTTAATGAGTGAAAAAGCAATCAGCCCAAATCTATGAGCTGTTTTACAGTTAACAGATCACAACAGAATCAGTATCTGTACCAATCACAGATTCACGTTAATACTTTACCTTTAAATTTTTCTACCCACTCACTTAGCCCCCATTCAACCAGTTTGGTTCTTACGAAATCATCCATGACCAAGAAATGAAACTGAAATATAAAATGCAATATTTAACCAGACAATACTGCTTTACAAATTAGACATTTGTGATCGACTTCTCCTTTAATCCATATATAATCAGGGACACTGATATTAAATTCAGATTAAAAGTTCAAACTGCTCACCTTTTGTCGAAAGTAATGCAGGAAAAGGCTGCTGAGGGAGATGTGAGGGAAGCAGTGAGACAACAATAGGAAACAAGCGGGAAGAAAGAAATCGAGCAAAGAGCAAAGTCCACAAACAGATACGGTTAAAAACAAACTGGAACTGTGTGGCTCAGACTGCACAGGTGCAACTGCATCTATACATAAAATAGAAAGGTTAATCCAACATGAGTAACGCAGGAGCAGGAAAAAGCAGAACGGAGAACTGAGAAAAGCAGGAAGAGGAGGTGTTTGTGCAGAAGGGTGTGGCTGGCAGACAGGTAACAACCTGCCTCGGAGCAAATGTTTTGTTTTTCTTTTTTGTTTTACTTTTTAACAGAGGAGTGAAACGATGTTGGGTGATGAACACTTTAAAAAATAATTATTAATACCATCTTTAATCCTCAAAAGTATTAATAAAAATAGAAATTGCCACTCTGTTATGTCACAGTCATCGGGCCAGCCACAACCATCCCACAATAGATAAATGTAACTGTTAATGCTGGGCTTATGCTGGGCAGACACTGTGCGATTTTTTCAGTTGCGTTATTCAGCTTCTGCTCAAACTGTACGATTGACTCGCAGGGGTTAGAAGTTCGTAGGTCACGATGCAGGGTCTCACACTATACGGCCCGATGCTCTGATGCGACCTGAGTGCTCAAACTGTGCGTCCATAAAATGAAGGTTATAACAGAAATTCTGTCGCTCGCTCTCCCTCTCTGTCTTTCACTCACACAGACATGCACACCACCACCATCAACTTTGCTAAATTGCTAATGAAAAACATTTATCAAGCAGCTGTGATTGAGCAGCACTATACATCCAACTATTTTCACGGTTGTTGTGGTCGTGATAATTTTGTGAGGCCACATCGAAAAGGCTCGGATGAGCTTGCCATAGTTCTACAAGTTGTGCCTCCATCGCTTGTGTCCAGATCACACGCTGCACTGCCGTGCTACGCCGTCTTTTTCGCTGACATTTGTGTTTGCGGGTCCGCAGTGTGAGAAGCTGCGGTGACACCCTCACGACCAAGCGATTGATGATCGGGAGCTGGTCGTGAGGTATTAATCGCTTCTCGTTACCCCACGTATACTACACGATGCACGACGCACGATGAAGGCCAAAATCGGGCCGATCGCCAAAACGGTCGCACGACTCAAAAATCGGCTCAAAATGGGCCAGAAATCGCACACTGTATGCCCAGCATTAGTTTGACTTGCTGAATTATGGTGTATAGGTAGTAGATTCACTGACAGTTAGAAGGAAAAAGAATTTATAAATCTTGGCTGAAAGTTGTTGCTTAATCAGTGTTTGTGTTTTTAGAATGGCGTATTTAACATGCTCAAATGTTGTATCACTACATAAAAGGATTGCGGTTCACACAAACATTCCTTCTTATCCTCCCTACGCTATTCGTTTTAATGTTAATGTATTCACATTGTAAAACAAAAAAAAAAGGGACAGCATATGAAAAGGCAAGGCAAGGCAAGTTTATTTGTAAAACATACATTTGTAGGGCCACATAAAGTATCTGCAGTTTGTGATGTGATAGAACTGAAACAAATGATTTTCCTTCCATATTCAAAGTGCCAAAGAGAATGAGATCCCTCGGTTCATCTCTGTCTAAAAGTGGAAAAGAAGGACTTAGCATCCAGCCTTTTTATGGGAATCGTGATGCAGAGTGATAAAACTGAGTTTACTTAGATGTTATTTTGCTAATGGTTAATCATGTTTAAATGTAATCAATATGATGAAATAGAAAGTGTAGTTTGAGTAATAAAATTATTTGATGCCTGACTTCTTCACCTGGATTGCGGGAGTGCTTTTGACTACGCTGCTCATCCTTTAAAAGCAGGGTCAAACCATCCGCAGCTCTTATTACGCTGCCTTGATGATGTCAAACAGTGGTTGTCATTAAATTTTTTAAAGCTAAATGAAAATAAAACTGAGGTTGTCATTTTTGGCAACTTTAATCATATCGACAGCACTCTGGGCACCCTTTCCTCGTATTCTAAAACACATGTAAAAAACCTCGGTGTTGTTAGGATATTGCTTCAGGGAGCAGACATGAAACCGTCTTAGGTTTTAGCCATCACTTTTTTATTGTCTCCACACCACCCTCCGGTGGCTTCCACATGAACTGCACCTTAAACAACAACTGTTTACTCATATCATGACATCCCCCTTTTTTTTTTTTTTTTTCTACAACAACAGGGGCAAACAACAAAGCAACCCACACCACCACTCAAGGCCCACGACCTGTGGAAAAAAGAAAGGGAGAAAAAAAAATGCCTCTTGGCATACTCACATTTCTCTCCAGTGAACATATTTTTTCTTCCCATTTTTTTTTAAATTTATTTATTTTTTTTATATCAAAGCATGTGCTCAAAACATAATGTTCATTTTATTCCTCAATAAGCCTTCTGGGCTTGGAAACAATACGTCCACTCGCAGTTTTGGGTGGGGAACTTGGAAACTCTGTGGGAGTGACATTTGTACTTTGCATGTCCATCTCACTTTGTCCCTGTGTTTCATCACACTCATTTTGCTGTGTTACATTTTGATTGTCCCTTGACTGCCTTAGAAACTTTCTGTTCCTTCTATATGTCTGTCCATCAGGCATCTGAACAACATAAGATCTTGGATGTTCAGATAAACCTGTCACCTGAGCTGGATTCCATACGCCCTGTTGCCACATTCTGACAGTGTCACCAACCTGCAGTTGCTTAAGTGCTTTGGTTCCTTGGTTAAAGTATTCTCTCTGTTTCTGTTGTCTTGTTTCTAACAACTGCTGCACTGTCTTAGTGACCATGTGAGGTTTCAATCCTTGCGATGTCGGTGGAAGTATTGTTCTTATGCGTCGACCCATTAGCAGCTGGGCTGGTGACGCTCCAATGTCCTCCAACGGTGTACTCCTCAGATTTATTAATGATAGATACGGGTCATTCCCCTCAGCTTTTGCCTTTTTTAACAAGAGTTTCACTGTTTGTACTCCTCTCTCTGCCATTCCGTTTGACTGTGCATGGTGGGGGCTCGTAGTGTTGTGACAAAACTCCCACTCTTTTGCAAAGTCTTGGAATTCACGGGAGCTGAACTGTGGTCCGTTGTCTGAAATCACCGTTTCAGGAATCCCGTGTCTGGCAAATTGTGACTTAAGATGAGTGATAACTGTTGCACTTCTTGTGTCTGACTTCAGCCACTCAACCTCAATGAACTTGGAATAGTAATCCACTAAGAGGAGATATTCCTGCTGGTCAAAAGTAAGTACACCTATCTTCTGCCAAGGTCTTTCAGGAACACTATGTGGATGTAGTGGTTCTTTGTTCTGTCGTTTCTGGTGAGTACTGCACACATCACAGCAGTTCACCATCTCTGTGATACTCTGTGACATTCCAGGCCAAAAGGGTACTTCTCTCGCTCTGCGTCGGCAGCTTTCAATACCCAAGTGACCCTCGTGAATGCGCTTTAGCATTTCTGCTCTCAGTGCTGCAGGAACAATAAGCTGCTCTCCTTTGAACAGAACTCCATCCACTACTGAAATTTGTTCCCTGTAATTCCAATACACTTGGATTTCTGTTGCAGCTTGGTTTCTTGTTTCTGGCCATCCATCCAGAACTGTCTCTGTAAGTTTAGTCAGTGTCATATCATTCCTTGTTTCCTTTCTGAATTCCTTTAGTTTTGCACTTGTCACAGGTAAGTTGGAAATTACCATGTGCACCTGGTCTTCTATCTCATTATCAGATGAGCTGGTCACTGGCAAATATGCTCTGGATAATGTGTCTGCGATGTACATTTCACTTCCTGGCTTGTGCTGTACTTGTACCTGATATTTTTGCAGTCTCATTAGGAGTCTCTGTATTCTTGCTGGAGCACTGCTCAACGGCTTTTTCATTATCACTTCTAGTGGTTTGTGATCTGACTCCACATTCACTTCTCTGCCATACACATACTGATGGAAACGCTCTGCACCAAACACAATTGCCAACATCTCCTTTTCTATTTGTGCATAACGCTGTTCAGTCTCTGTTAATGAGCGTGATGCATAAGCAACTGGCTTGCCATCTTGTAGTAAGACAGCACCGAGTCCACTTTTAGAAGCATCGACAGATAGTGTTACTGGAAGCTGTACATCGTAGTATCTGAGCACAGGAGCTTCAGTAAGAATTGTTTTCAATTTGTTGAATGCGTGCTGATGCTCACCTTCCCACTGCCATGCAACATCATCTCTGGTAAGGCCGCGTAATGGCTCTGTGTGTTGTGACATGTTTGGAATGAACTTTGCTAGGTATGTCACCATACCCAGAAATCGCTCCACATCTTTTTTGCACTCTGGTGTAGGCATTTTCTTTACTGCCTCTATCTTGCTCTGATCTGGTTTCAAACCATCTGCCGAGAAGATGTGGCCAAGGTATTTAATTTCCTCCAGGCCTACCTTGCATTTGTCCTTGTTCAGCTTAAAATTTTTTGCTCTTGCTCTCTCCAGCACTTGCCTCAGTCTGTCGTCATGCTGTACTTTAGTCTCTCCCCAGATCAAAAGGTCGTCTATGTATGTCTCAACGCCATCAATCCCCTCAAACAGCTGCCTCACCGTCCTGTGGAATACTTCTGGAGCTGAATTAATTCCAAAAGGCAGGCGAAGGAATCTGTAACGACCAAAAGGTGTGTTGAATGTACAGAGACGAGAGCTGGCTTCATCCAATTTAAGTTGCCAAAATCCTGAGCTTGCGTCCAGCACAGTGAAGTATTTGGCCTTTGCCAGTCGGCTCGTTATCTCTTCAACTGTTGGCAACTGGTAGTGCTCTCTCATGACTGCTGTATTGAGATCACGAGGATCTAGGCAGACTCTCAGTCGTCCAGTAGCCTTTTCCACAATGACGATTGGATTTACCCACTGGGTAGGCTCTTCAATTTTTGTAATCACCTCCATTTTTTCCATTCTGTCCAGTTCTACTTTGAGTTTTTCTTTGAAGATGTCCATTTCATCACTTTTATTCAGTGCCATCACTCTCTTGATGAGTCCCATTTCTTCACATGTTTGAATTCCCAGAATTGGCTTGGTTTCTGATTTTACGACAATGAACTCCAAAGCAAAACTTTTCTTTTTGTATTTCACTGCCCAAGTGCACTTTCCTTTAACTGCTATTTTGTCTCCGGTGTATGTTGACAACCTGACATTTGTGGGTCTAAGCATTTGCTTATTTCCTATTCTTCGTAGTAGACTGT